TAATTGTTAGTTTTTACGATCATATACTTATGCAAATAATTCTGTGGTTTTTCAAAATAAAAATCCTGTTATACATTAAAAAAAAGTTTTAATTACAAGAGTGTATATAAAATTAATACTAAAAAAACATATAAATAACATTTGCTAGCAATGAATATAAGATTAGTCTATAAAATCTATTAAAATTTACATAAAAAATTCTATAATTTCAATTGCATTCAAATATATTAATAATAAATAATCATTTTATTTAAATTTATATATTAATAAAAAATGAGTGGAAAAACAGATAGAAATAGGATATGCATTGACTTTAGTTGTGTTTACTTATGGGCCAAATAAACTTGGCGTCAAAGCGTTTGTACGCGAACTGAGTCTCGCGACCGCTGGCCATAGCATCCGATTTGATGAGTTGAGGCAAATCCGTGTCATTCAACTGAATCTCCTCTCCTTTAACCACTTGGAAGAGACCGAAGTCCTCGGGATTTGTGATCTTAAGCTTATGGGCAATCATTTTGCAGATCTCTTTAGTCGTCATATTGGGCCGAACGGGAAGAGTCTTGACAGCAATACTGGAAGTGAACTCATCCGGGATTAAGACTCGCATATAGGCCTTCATGTCGACAATCATCGGAAGCTTGATCTGAGTGCACAACGAGTGCTGTCCGATAGAGCCGGACGTCACACTCGTCTCACTGGAAGAGCTATTCATCTGTTGGACTGGTATTGCATTCGATGTAATCACAGAATCGTCGTTGGATTCAGTGGTGCTCTTCATTGTATTGCTTTCAGAGCTTAATTGATGCATATTTTTGATGACATTAACGGCTGAACACAATGTCGTCAGATAATAGCCGCCTTCACCGCACAGAATGGACGGCTGCAGTAAACCAAACATGAAGTCCGCCTCAATCTCAGCGGATATGACTCCGCATTGGATTAACACGAAAATAAAGAGGGGGAGGAAGTCGTCGGCGCCGAACGACGAGTACTCGCTCTTCGATTCATTCGCATTTCCCTTCTTCTGGTGCTTCCGAACGCTGTTATAAATGCACGAAATGGTCGACAATAAAAACTCCAACTTTTTGAGCGGTGAATATGACTGTTGCAGACGACACAAGTGTTTCTCAATCTCAACCATAATCTTAGCGTCGATTGGAAGCAATTCCGGCCGAACGCCCAGCTCTTGTGGGCTCTTGTTTTGGGCGTCTTTTATGTTTCGCGACAACACTTTGAGTGAACCGTTTCTATTGTAGGATTCAATAAAAAGCTGATATAAGAAGTTCTTCAACGGCTTTATAACGAGTCGATGCAATGCGCTCTCGAGGATGGCGTCGATATTCAAGAACTCATTGGACTTGAGTTTAGTCCTCTCGCGTTCAATCATTGCACTCAACTCTCCCTCGCCATGCTTTACGAGATAATTCTTCATACCGTTCATGAATTGCCTTATATTCCGCATAACTCTGCCAAATATACCGGTAATACAAACCAAAATAAGTCTACATTTAATAACATTTAAAATAAATTTACAAATGAATTAATGCTTACATTAAAGGATTGGTTTCATTAGTTTCTTTAGTGCATTGAATGAAGTGATCGATAGCTTTAGCGAAAGTGTTGTTTCCTTCAGCCGATAGCTTAAAAATATAGTTACAAATGTTTAAACCGATTCCACAATCATTTGTCTCTAAAACAGTGAGTCTATCGCTAGCTGTTGACTCTCTGTGATCAGCGACGGAGGCGTTGGATCTCATTTCGGCGACATCACTGAACTGGCTCACTTCAGTTATGTCCAAAGTGCTCGTACGGCGACTGTCCGATAGGCTCGTTATTGTGGACCCGTTCTCGCAATTGTTATTCATTAGCTCTCTATTCAATAGGAAATTATTGTCTTCATGATCAGGACTAAACTGCATCAATGCATTCTTGGGGAACACCTTCTGCAGTATTTCACTCCACCACTCGCTATTCCACGGATCACTAAACTCCGTGTTGTGGGACACACTATCCTCTTGCTTACACGTCTCACTGCTATTCAAATAAACGGCTAAATTATCGTATCTTTCGTGCAATTCCTTAATCTTATCAACATTTTTGTCGTCTGAATCATTTTGCTGTAGACTTTGCACTTTTTGCACACACAGTTCGGGCGCCTGTAGTGTAATCAAGTCCTCAACAGTTGTCACATCGCTTTTCATCGACTCAACGAAACTACTCCTTCGAAAGCCAGACAAAGACTCGCGTCTGAAGGGTTGGCCGCATAGTGAGGAGAGGTTGTCGTCGAGCCATTGCCAGGACTTATCCAAAGGCCACGAAGCCTCGCGATACTCATTATATGCGTGTCTGGAGAAAGTACTGGTGCCCACTTGTAGTGATACGTCTTGTAGGTTGGGATCAAAAGTACTAAATATTTGCGTACACGTGTCGATCTGCGAGGACTCCGTTTTAATACTATCTATAAGACTCTCCATTGAATGGCCCAAAAGAGAAGCATTGGAAGGCTTTGCGTCGTTACTAATGAGAGGAGATCCGGATGATTCAGATCGTCTTAATGGCAAAGACTTTGGGAATTCAATTCTTCTGTTGGGAATCGCATCAATCGGATCGATATAAAAAGGAAATGAATTGAGACGAATGGATGAGTTCTTCATAATAGCTGTGGTCTCGGTTTGAGTACTTCGATGAAACTTGTCTAATGCGGACCCGGTTTCGGTGATCCCCGACAACGTCGAGTTAAGGGTCATTCGGGAGACAGTATTTGCGCCCCAAATATCCTCGTAATCGCTTTCCTTGTCGTGAAGGGAACTCCTATAACATAAGACTTTCTTTTGAGCGTTTGTTAAGCATTTTTTTGCATCTTTTGGCGGATCGTCTGTGGATTGACTAGAATTAGACGGGGAACTGGTGTCTGATTGGCGCCTATGTTTGGCGTCATTTAAATGAATTAATGTGATCTCAGTGTTGGGAGCGATCGGCTCTTTCGACTCCTTTGACTCTTTTGTGCTCTCATTGGATGTGTTGGTTGAAGGCGTCGTTGACTTAGATATTGAGCTATTGGTCCCGAATTTACTTCTCGGGGGAACGGGTGGCCGTTCAGTGCGTTTTGGGGGCAACTTTGGCTGCTGTTGGGCCAACACTTGCGTAATGGGAACAGTGGATGACTTTTTCATATCAATAATAGGATCGATGGCCGAGACATCCTGTTTGGGAGGGATAGGAGGGGGCGGTTGGCCCTCATTCTTGAACGTGGACAACAAATTGTTTCGTTTGTTGAGTGAATAACAATCACTAGAATTATCATCACTTTTGTTGTCATTAGAATTGGTAAGCTTTGAAAGACTCGACTGCCAGAAGTCCTGACCCAAAAGGGCCAGTGATGTCAACTGTTGCCGATTGGACTGCTGTAAGACTTTGGGTAGAGTGAGCTGAACGGGCAGTTCGTCGCAACAGGTCGAGTAATGACAGACCAACATCGGAATTGCACTGAAATAGTTGTCGGAGCCCTCCAAATGCAGTTTCCCGTTCCCGCCGTCCTCTATGAGATAGTGCTCGATGTGAGGGCCCCGACCTTCGGGCAAACGCACCGATAGGGCCATTGTGTTGGCTTTGCTTGACTGACGAACCTTTTAATATAGCAAACGAGCGGTTATTCAAAACAAGATTAGGGATCAGATGTTCAAACAGGAAATGCTATCAAAAAGGCATTCAATTCATTCAGCATTCAAATGATAAACTTTTTCCCTTATGTTTTAGAATTTATGCAAAAATTAGATTTTGTTGAAAACTGCAAACTTCTAGTGATTAATGGAGTCAAATGAATGTGATTTTGCATCAAAAACTCATTCAAGCGAAAAACATTGAAAACTAAATGAGCAAACAATATTTAAAACTAAAAATACATGTGTGTGTGTGTGTGTGTGTGAGAGAGAGAGAGAGAGAGATGAGTTTTATTTTTGTGTCGTGTCTTGGTTTTAGATTTTTAAATTTCTAAAAATTGTACTTTAACTCTAAACATTGTTAGTAAACAGTAAGCCTTTTGATAATAAATGCAAATAAATTGATTCCCAGAATATGGGTCAAAGCATATAATTCTTTGACACATATTCTTCAAAAAATATTCTCAAATTTTTGTTATTATTATTATTTGCAGAAATCGCAAAAACATTGTGCGAAAAGCTTTCAAAAAAAACTCGAGTGTCGGCACAAAAAAAGTTATTTTTAAACTTTCAAACTATACTTAAATTAGTTTATTATCCTTTCGGTTGAAGAATACTAAAGAGAATTATTATTTATTTGAAAACTTCTGAAAATGTTTCTAATCTAATAAATAGTTGTTTAGGAATGATGTCAAAAATAACAATAAATAAAAAAATTAATTGAAACTCAATTAATAACTTTTCAAACATTAGAAAACTTGTATTTATATTGACGCCAGTGTTTGGCTCACCGTTAACTCCATTCACACAATAAGATTGCATTGAATTATAGAAACACTTCTTTCATGTTATACTCTAATGAACGTTAGTTTTGATAATTAGTCTATAATTTCTATAAAAATAACATTATTGTAACTTTAGTTCACTAGAAATGGGACATCAATTCAATTATTTTAATTGTATCTGAATTTTCACATTTAGTTCTTTTCATTTGTTTTTATAATTTTTAACAAACTCTTGCGAATTACTCTAAGCTTTAAAAATAGGTTTTAACTCATAGTTTCAAAATTATATGACATTTGAAATATAAGACATTAAACTTAAGAAAATAAATACTTATATATATTACATAAATCGCATTTAGAGAGCTTATTATAATTAATTAAATAATAATAAGTTTGTTATACTTGTAAGCCATTGATATGAATAATAAAATGAGTGAATACTTAAAGAGCAATGAATTGTTTAAAAAAGCAAAAGAATGTAAACGAAGTGAAACCAAAACAATATAACACATTGTAGTAGACATATAGAGAGCACATGAAATATGCTTACAATGAAACATCCGGGCTCTTTGCCCTGTAGAAGGTGGACGACACCCGCGCGACCTATTTCTGTGAGAAACCATATCGGGTGACAACGGATCAACCGCTCCAAGAGTCCGATTGTGGCCGGAATCGACTCATTACTGGCGCCCGAGTTGTCTTCATTTTTGTCATCCACTGAATTGTTGGACACATTCTCCACTTCCGACTGATTTTGTTTCTCTTTTACTTCGACTGCTTTACAATTCTATTAAATTTGTTTAATTATTAAATCACTTATCAAAACAAATCAGTGAGACTTTAAAAAACGTTAAATCGTAAATAAAATTATAATTTATTTCACAGTTTAGACGAAAATTAAAAATAGAAACTCAGAGTTTATTTAAGAGAAAAACTTTTAAAAGCTCAGAGTATATAAACAAAAGCCAAAAGCGTTGCTAAGACTTACAGAAAGAGGCTCTGAATTATGAGAAGTGATCCCAAAGTTATCCATCACTGAAAGCAATTGCAAACTATAAGAAGGCTTTTGAGACTCAGTTTGAGAAGACATTAAAGTCGAAGAATTTATCATTTGTTTAGATGAGGACACAGACGAGGAGTGAGCCGTAAATGTTGGTAAAAGAGCGCAGGAATTAGTTTGCAATAGAGATGGGGTCTTATCAGGTGATACCTCAACGCAAACTAGTGATAAGGGTTTAGAGATAACGGTTTAGCAAAGAGTTAGAAAAATATGGCGAATTAGATAAGAGAGAGGAATATATTGGGATTTAAAGAGAGTTTTCACGATTTTACTAAAGACTCACTTCTGTTATCACTTGATTTGGTGTCGGACTTGTGTTGAACTGCATTTTGTTTCGGTGGTTGTTGTGAATCATTTCCTGCAACTCCGACAGCAAACGACTCGAGTAGAAAGGGGTCTTCTGGTGGCCCGTCCTCTGGTCGGCGCTCAGTATTGTCGGCATTTTCATCGATAATTCCATGGCTTATATTCTTCGATATCTCAAAGTCGGGCGATAAGTCTTGTAGCGCGAGGTCTAGATCTTTGGCCACATCAGTGATCAACTTCACGACACATTGACGGCAAACGTGGAAATGTGAATGAATTTCAAAAGCATTAGTCACACATATACTGCATATTTCCCACAAAATTGGGATCACAAAAAAATTTAGTCGCAAACAAATGTCAATTCATTAAATTTGCAATCAATTGTATATCGAAATGCAAACTACAAAACACTCACAAAACAATTGTGACAATTGTGATAAAAAAATTGTTGAAAAACAAATCAATCGATTAGAGAATTGATAGGAAATGTATCCGTGAATTGCAATTGAAAACTGATTTGAAAGTCACAAAAATCTATGCAATTATCACACGAGAGCCGAAAGAGCGCTATATTTCTAAGCATTGAATCGTATCTGAAGTCAAAGACAACACACGGAAAGACATCCAGAAATTGAAGTCTGAGTTGCGATTCAACTCTCAAAAAGGCAGTCAATTAAGAGACATAAAAAGTATAACAAAATAAACGATTAACTGATTGAGAAATTGGACACATTTTTCCTGTACTATTGAGACCAGAGTTCAGAGATTGAGATCTCTTATGAAGAGCTCGTGAAACACAACTAAAGGAAAGTTTTGATAACATATCGTATTGAACGCCAAAACAAAACTATGAGACTATGAGACACTCTCCGGGAAGGCATTGAAATGCATTGAAAGGCGATTACTATTTATATTGAAACGGGATTTACGCTCAAATGCTAAACAAGTGAACAAATGAATGCATTTCTCAGTTAACTATACTGTATATCAAGTGAAGGATAACTTGTTTTCTCTCAATCCAGACGTCCATTCAATCCATTCATTCAATTCATACCTAATTTCGCACACAATCTATACTTATATTACAGACACATCTCTATTGTGTCACACAATCACTGCTATTGTGAGGCATATTATAATTGCTATGAATATCAATGGTTACGGCATTAATGGCGAGAAAATAAGGTCTTAATTGTCTAATGAGATAATCATGTCTTAAGTGGTGAATACCTCCCAAAAGTTGCTTTCATTGGACGTCTTCTCACTCTTTAATTCATGACTTTTCTCGTCGTTTATATTATTATTATTAAAATTATTGCTATTTTTAACACATTTTATACTATTATTAGCGGAACTCATAATAGAAATACAATTAATTATAGTATTTATTATGTAATTGTATATTAAATAGCATTTCAATTAATCCATGATTTCATTCATTTCTCATACTTTTCACTCAATTATATAAACATTGCATTCAATGCACACAAAAAATATTTGTATTCAAAGTCAATGTATTGGTAATCATATGTAATATTAATTATAAAAAACTTTCAAATCGTATAAAATAGGTATAAAATATGGGATTTAGTTCACAAATATATTGTTAATCGTATGAATGATAATCAAAACATATTTAATGAGCAAATGATGCATAAAATTGATTATAAAATACAATCATTTCATTCACTGATTGCTTACATAATAGACAGTACTGTAAAATAAGGTCTTAATTGTCTAATGAGATAATCATGTCTTAAGTGGTGAATACCTCCCAAAAGTTGCTTTCATTGGACGTCTTCTCACTCTTTAATTCATGACTTTTCTCGTCGTTTATATTATTATTATTCAAATTATTGCTATTTTTAACACATTTTATACTATTATTAGCGGAACTCATAATAGAAATGCAATTAATTATAGTATTTATTATGTAATTGTATATTGAATAGCATTTCAATTAATCCATGATTTCATTCATTTCTCATACATTTTCACTCAATTATATAAACATTGCATTCAATGCACACAAAAATATTTGTATTCAAAGTCAATGTATTGGTAATCATATGTAATATTAATTATAAAATACTTTCAAATCGTATAAAATTGGTATAAAATATGGGATTTAGTTGACAAATATATTGTTAATCGTATGAATGATAATCAAAACATATTTAATGAGCAAATGATGCATAAAATTGATTATAAAATACAATCATTTCATTCACTGATTGCTTACATAATAGACAGTACTGTAAATAGTGTTGTGTTTATCGCAGCATTCAATGCAAACACATATGACGTGAGCTATGAGTGAAACCCCTCAGAGTTACCCAACGCTAACACAAACCCATTGAATGTGATCTGAAAACTGAATCGACGCTCACTTTTGTCGCGTTTGAAGGCAAAGCAAAACGTTATTTATTATTCATATTAGTATTCATTTGCAGCCTTTCAGTGACACTATGTGTGATACGAATGGGCGTTACCATCGATGGTGAGGTCATTGCCTCCGATCACAGCATCCATTCATCACATCCATCACATCCACACACTTCGCATGCATTCATTGAAATCAATGCTAAACCAGTGTTTGTGTGTCTATTGAGACACCACTTCATCATTAAGACAATGTCTACTCAATTAGGGTTATAGTTGTCTACAATTACGTTAATTAATGGACACAAGCGATGGTCTGATTGCCTATTAATGGCTCTAATTATAAGTGATTAGCACTGAAATGGTCTATAGATATGAATATAGATATGAATATTGAGAGCAGGGATGGCAGGGATGAGTGAGTTGTGCAATAAAAACGGTGATTGGATATCAAGTTATTAAGAGTAATGTATTGGAAATGAAGATAAAGTTTTGGGCCATTAATTGGACGCAAAACTAATTTTACTCATAAACTCCGTATGCATTAGATATGAAAATATAACTCTAGATATGATATGAAAAGTTTTCATTGCTTTGACTTACGGTGAAAAGGGTCGCAAACCGTCCGGTGGAGTGAGGATTGAATGCAAAAATGCTTTCAAATGCATACAAAATTTAATTTGAGTGCAAATATGAGTCATCGATTGGTTAGGAAAAGGGTATTTCAGATACAATTTGAAACGAGTATGCGGTGAATGAAATGGCATTAATATTTCGTATGAAAAATTGTTGCCTAAAAATAGTTTCCTCTTTGACTATATATACGAAAAGTATCGCTAATTTATCCCATATTTTCCTAAATAATCTCTAGAAATAAGTCATTACTTAAGGTTTTGTGGTTATTATATACCCGATGGCAATGAGAGAGAAAAAGCACTTCCAGTCAAACCAAACAACACATTAATCTATGCGTTCATACGAACCAGTGATCAATGTATGAGCCAAATGTTTATTCAAACAAAAGAAATGCTTAAATTAAAGCTGCCATCAAATTATTTATATTTAAAAATTTTATTATATAAACAAATGTCAATTTTATTGAACATACAAAGGATTAATTTTGCGAAATATGTAATAAAAAGTGGTATAAAACGCCGGGAATAGTGTGTCACGTGTAGGTAGAGTTAAAGTTCGCTAAGAATCCTTAAAATCGTTAAATACTTGTTTATAAGTTATAATAATTCATATGCTAAATCTTAAGTACAAACTTAAAATAATCGGAATTTATATATATATAACATCGAGAATTAGTTTTATAAGATTTAATGCAAGATTTATTATTTAATTTATCAGTACTCGCATTAATCACATCATTAATTCTGGGCTCTATTCATAGATTGTTTATTAGTTATGATTTTGTATTACCACT